GATCTGGCCCGCCACATCATTTTATGTGGCCCGCGAAAACAAATCAAACATGTCAACTTCCATCATGCTTTCTAAGATCTGTACCAAAATTTCAAATTCTCATATGTAATGAATAAGAGAGATATTGGAAGCATTTTCTTGTTACCAAACCCCTCATTGGAGTTACTTAAACAATAGTTGAATAAACCATCATTCCTGACTTATTGATCGGGTTTCACAGTCTTAACAGCCCCCCAAGGGAAGCGGTAACTACAATGTGGCCCTCGACAAAATTGAGATGGACACCCCTGATCTAAACAATAGAAACGCGGCTTTTGCAACAGTACTTTACGTAGTTTTGCTGACGTGCTGAACCACTTTTTTTCACCCAAACGCCACCGACCCTGAGCCAGAACCCAGCAGCATGATGCTGAGAATGAGAGTTAGAGAGTGAGAAAGAGAGAGAGAGAGAGAGAGAGAGAGAGAGAGAGAGAGAGAGAGAGAGAGAGAGAGAGAGAGAGAGAGAGAGAGAGAGTGGAGCAACAAGATGAAGCAAGAGCAACAGAAGCTGCCTCCTCCAACACAAAGATGGATGACCACTACTCCACCAGAATCAATCAGGGACTTGTAGCCACAGCAGATCATCTTTCCCCCTGCTTGGCTGTGCGGGTCCGCCAACCCTGATAATACACACAAGCTCACTACCTTTACAGGACCTTTACAGCGAAAATGTAGTCTAGACTTAGAGCCAAGAGGGAATCGTGAGGGGAAAGGTGGCAATGTAAAGACAGAAAGTGAGAGAGGGAGAAGTGATGATGCTGGCGTCTGTGGTGCAGGTCGAATCGATTGTTTTCACTGCGGTTTAATGGCAATTAAATTTTGCGGACAAGTCAGCGGCTCACTTTCCACATATTTTCTGCACCACAAAGATGGATGGATGATGATTGAGAAATATATTGTTTTGGAGGCAAAATATAGTGTTTTGATGAAAGAATAAGTTTTTAACCAAACCCCTCATTGGAACATACGCGCGCGCGCGCACACACACACACACACAACACACACACACACACTCAAACACACTCAAACACACTCTCTGACAGGCTCAATGAAACAATTTCACCTGTGTCTCTTAATGTGTGTGAGCACGTGTGTGTGTGCATGCCAGAGTGTGTGCGTGGAAGACATTTTCATGGGAACCACATGTGGCGTTCATTAACAAGGGGGAGGCAGTATCAAGTGCTAACATCTTTAATTAACACATCCCCCAACACTCCCTGACTTTGATGCGAACATACCATTGCGCAGAAGCGGAGGTTGCCACGGCGATAGTGGTTGGGGCTCGATACGTGGACAAGATGTCCCCCATCGGTGCCGAAATGGCACAGCGTTTAATCCCCCCCACCATCTCGGGGCCCACTCAATTAACACACAGGCCAGATATCACTGTAATGGCCTGATAAGGAAGTAATCCTGAATCCATTCACTTTTAATGACTTCCTGTCTAATTAAGAGTCTTCTGTTAAAGACACACACTTTCGGGAGCTTTCCCACTGATCAGAAACCTAATGTTGGGATTATCGGCACAACTTTTTGCTTTTAAGAGCACAAATACACATTTTACTTTGAGGACCGCGGTGGAAAGATCATCTGTTAATCCAGCCACCATTCAAAAGCATCCATCCGGCGTGGGAGAAATCTTGGAGGAGCCACTTCTCACACTGGAGTAATTAGGTCGATTGTTTTGCTTTTAGACACTAAAAACTTAACGACTGTGGAAACGGGGACACATTATGGACAATTGACTTTCTTAATTGCTCCTATAGTGGCACTCTGGAGCGCTTACCCCAGTGGCGTGCAAAGGTGGCTGGTGTTGGGGCGGGAGGGGAATTAATGTTGTGTAAGCATCCCCCCCCCCCCCCAACCCCTGCCGCCATTCAATTTTTTTTTTTAATTGGCAGCAAAATTATTTGGGTCGGTCAGAACAACAGAAACCAGACGCATGTTTATCAACTGTGAAATTCTGTCCACCTGTGAGAATACTTTCACAGGCCCTCCGTTTTTATTTTCAAATACTCTATGTTGAATTTAGTTTTCTCTTTGCTCTCCCAGAAAAAAGAAATGAAATGTATGTCACGTGCTCACAGTATATTCTGTATAACACTGGAATGGAAACTGATTGCTGTTTATAATTATGTTTTGTGCAGGGGGAGATGACACCAGGTCTACGTTTTCCCACGCTTATCTCCTCATGCTCGTCAGTTTCAAGTAGAACTCATGAGTGCTGTGATGTAATCATTAACTAAGAGGTTGCACGCCGTTTCATCATTTTAACCAGAGAGAAGCAAGAAAAAGTGATCTTTATTTGGAAGATTTGGGCGAGAGTGAAGTTCAGGATAAATTAGACCGATTCGTTTCACTCTACTTTGCTTCCTTCACCCACAATATGTTCCCATATTTTCCATTAGCATGAACGCATCAAAATTGATCCTACAGAGTCACTTCGATTTTACACACAAGACATTTTAGAAAACACACAAACAGGGCCCCATTTTCATGCCAAGCTCAAATCGCAATCAAACTTTGCTCATGGATGGAGTTTTCTTTCTTTTTGTATTTCCGTAGATGGGCAGCGTTAGAAAGAAGCATTTGCATCGTTGTGGGAGTGAACACAGCTGACTTGCGTCCAAGCCAATGGAAGCGGCTACTCTAATTCCAGTTAAATTCCACACAAGAGAGACACACACACACACATTTTTTGACAGTGAGGAAGCAGTGTTGTATTATTTTGTCATTTTATGTTAACTGTTCTTTTGATGGCAGCTCGGGCACCCTCAGCGGCTCCTCTTGTTGTCTTGTTGTCTTTTTGAGAGGGAAGAAATTTCCCCTGTGCTGTATGTTGCACATACAGCTCATTTGACAATAAAGTTAGACAGTATGTTTATGAGGAACTTCGAGCTCTCCACTTACGGATGATGTAAAGTTGGCCAGAGCGATCACCGTTACCCACTGGATCGTGACCAAGAGGTTAGGTCGCCACTCACCACCATAGAGGACTGTGATTCAAGGTCATCCCCGGGCACATGGCTGTACTGTCCTTGAGCAAGACACCACTGCCACAAACTGCTTCCTGGGCGCTTAAACTGCTCCAGTGTGTGCCACTAACAGTGTGTGTTTGCTGTGATGGGTCAAATGCAAAGGTCAAATATCGTGCATACATGCGTCTATGACAGAGAGAGAAGCTTTAACTTCACTTTGCTTTTACCATGAATCGGGCACTTGTAAATCACCTTCCACTCCGATAGTTCATGTCCGGGTCACGCTTTTTGTTCAAGTTAAACTTGTTGGTTATTTCGGCCACTGCCATTAGACGTACTTGCCTTTGGGTCTGTATCTGCACCAGTTCTAAGTCAGTAATGAGGCACTGGCCGAGGTGTCCCTACGGAGAACCATAATATATGTCCCAGTTATCGGTCATTGATGGGGAACTCTATCCAATACACATATCAAATCGCATTACACTACCTGCGCCACAATTTAGACCTGCTCTGAGCTGTTCTAAGGCTATGTATGGTACATTCACACGGCAGGGCGTGATGCCCAATTCTGATGTTTTGCCTGACCCGATTTTTTTATTCTAATATGAACACATGTCCGTGATGTGACATGCATGCGCACAAAGCACGATCTTCGAATGCTGTGCACCCAAAAATGATGTCATGTGGTGCTGTGTTTATGGAGATAATTATTTTCTTGGGTGTCATTTCATCAACTCGTATCGCCAGTGTAGTGAGACGGGCTGAGAAACATTTTGGGGATACGAAGCAACGCTCCTCGATCTCTTTAGTTGACGAAGATGTCAACTAAAGATGTCATATCATTGCCCTGTGTAATAAAATAATCATCTGCACGGCTGAATTACTACCATTGTCTTGTCCAGGGAAACCAAGACAATAAGTATTATAAAAAATTATGAGATTTATTTGCAGTCTGAACGCAAATGATATTTTGAAGTCTCCAAAAACACCACAAAAAGTTGCAAGATTTTTTCCTTGTCAATTTTCTTTTGAAAAACACAAACTACAGATCTTAGAAAAGTCTCTAAATTGGTAACCCTGAGTTGTTGTTCACTTGGGTGACAAAGTGCTGTCTACAGTTGTCATGGCATCAAAAGCTACCCTTTGCATATGCATGAGACAAAACCATTCCCCAAAAGCTGAGTGATTTCACCCAGAGTGTAAGAAATGGATGTTGTTTGGAGAACTTTCATTATTTATCCCTTGTGTATTTTTTACGAAGATTGAATCCATCCATCCATTTTCAACACCGCTTATCCTGAACAGGGTCGCGGGGGGTGCTGAAGGCTATCCCAGCTAACTTCGGGCGAAAGGTGGACTACACCCTGAACTGGTCACCAGTCAGTCACAGGGCACATATAGAGATGAATAACCATTCACACCCACCTCTACACCGTCACTGAATGGGAACTGATCCCATGCTGTCCGCTTACAAGTCAGGCGAGTGTACCACTACATCATCAGCAACCTTAATAACTCAAATTGATTTTAAAAAGGACCGACTCTATCATGTAATAGAACACACTTCTTGTTACTAGTAGCATTTTAAAGACATAAATTGTCAATAGCGATCAAGACATCAAGCAATGGTGTACCACAGGGAAGCTACTTTGAAAAAAATAGTGTTAATTGTGTGAGAAAATTGTGTCATAAGTCTCCTTCAAATTAGATTGAAAATGTACTCTTTCGTCACACCTTGATTATTTTATTCCATACAAGTGAAATCACAAAAACACAATGTTTTGTGCAAATATTTTTCTCCTTTCCCCGACTTTCTTTCAAACAGCCGTGTGACTCATGCCATGACTCTGATACAGTCTATGTGTCATTTCCCAAATCTTGGACACAACCAAGCGTGATAACGCACTGTGGGACAGTCAACAGGTGCATAGCTGGCCAGCACACATGCACACACGCGCACCCGCATAAATGAATACACAAAAAAGTGAAGGTTGAGCTGAAGTATAAAATAGGCAGAAAAACGTCTGTGCCTCTTCAGAAACGTTGGTGACGCTTCACAGACATGCTGAGGTTTTTGGTCTTGACAACTTTGGCAGCCCTGGGTAAGAGAGCGACACCATATGCACACAGACACACACACACACACACACACACACACACACACACACACACACCACATGGATATGCTCATTATTGATCCTCTTTCTCTCCATCAGGCTGCATACTGTCACCTTGTCAGTCATTTTAAGATTAGTGAAGCTCACGGAAGTGCAGTGAATTATTCTCCCTCTCTCTCTCTTATGCACTCTCTTTCATGAAAATAAAACATAAATGTCTCCCATTTTATCTTTCTTGAACAGTGCTGGCTGAGCTGGAGCCCCAGCCCAGGTACCTCGAGGACGTTTCGGAGAGGGTGGTGGGAGGCGAGGTGGCTCGGCCCAACTCCTGGCCCTGGCAGGTAAATGCCTGCATGGAACTCATCGACTCAAATGGACAAATTCTGCAGATGAGGGTTATATACACGTGGATTGTGTCCCCTTCCTGTTAGATCTCTCTTCAGTACCAATCTGGCTCCAGATTCTACCACACATGTGGGGGAACCCTGATTCAGAGAGGCTGGGTCATGACTGCTGCTCACTGTGTGGACAGGTATCAGGATCATTTTATTATGTGTTTATATGTTGGAAACATGAATTAGGCACCATCCTCCTGGTAAGGAAAACAATTGGTACACTACTACATTGACTTTTTTTTTCCTACTCTACTGTTCTAGCACCATTGTTGTAAATCTAAATAGAAAACTTATTAGTACAGTATTTTGATTGTGGAGTTGAATCATTGCATATATAAGAAGTTAGAAACAAAAGTGTATGAAACAGGCTTATATCCAATCATTTATTTTTCTAAATCTATTATATCTCTTCTAATCTACGTTAAGTAGAAAACACACAGTTGAAAGCCAGAGCGTCATCTGGTGGGAAGGTGGCCAACTTCTCGAGCAGAGTTGCTATTGCCTTAAATGTGAAACTATTGTTAAATGGTGGCCAAATTTGAGTGTTTTACTGTTTTATTGATTTTCTCAATTTCCTTCTTCAGCCGTAGGACGTGGCGTGTGGTTCTGGGCGAGCACGACCTGAACAGCAACAGCGGCAGAGAGCAGGTCATGAGTGTCAGCCGCGTTTACATCCACCCAAGATGGAATTCCAACAATGTGGGCGCTGGGTGAGTACTGTATAATTTTACCTGACATGTTTATTTTTTTTCATGACCAAAAGTCTTCTAGGCAAAGACACTCTCGAGTCCCAACTTGCGGGACACCTCCATCAAGACTTAATACATTTTGATAAAAGTTTAAAAACAGTTCTTGAACATTAAATGCAATTATTTATTGAACTAAAAAGATAAATACAATTGAACTGTATTCAGGTAGTATTTTCTTCACATACATAATTGGGATAGCCTACATGGACCATGGACAAAGGTCTACTTAGGAGTTCTTTCCGTCATTTTGTTGACTGGATGTGGCTCACACAGCTATGATATCGCCCTGCTGCGTCTGTCTGGAGAGGCCTCTCTCAACTCTTACGTGCAGCTGGGCTCTCTGCTCCCCTCTGGAAAGATCCTGCCCCACAACAACCGCTGCTACATCACCGGATGGGGACGCACCTCCAGTGAGTCCGTTGTTCATCCTCTCACTTTTTGGCACTTTCGTGACCATGCTGATCGATTTTGTTTCCAGCTGGCGGCAACCTGTCCCCACAACTGAAACAGGCCTATCTTCCCGTGGTGGGCCACAGTACCTGCACCAGCTCTAGCTGGTGGGGCGGCGGCATCAAGACCACCATGGTGTGCGCTGGTGGTGGCTCAGAGTCTGGATGCAATGTGAGTGCCCTCGAGAAAAAAGAATAAATCATCACAGAAGTCTCGCATGTCTAGCTTTAACAAAATAGCAGCGCTTGCAATACTATGCTAGCATTAGCACTATAAACAAGCCAACGATAGCCAAGCTACGGGAGCAGAGTTGGGCAATTCACAAAATTTTGCCAGTCCTACACCGTCATCCGTCATTCGTCAGTCCGTCTTTATTTTCAAGGCCAACCGAACTGTCATCAATCAGTCAGTCCATCATATTATGTTTAAATTACATCGATCCGCCACTCCGTCTTTCATCAGTCTGTCAGTCCGAGAATAACTTTCTTTCAATTGTCAGAAAAAAACTGGTGTCCGTCAGTGACGTACAGATGGGCCTTTCATCAGTACCGACGGAATTCCCAACTCTGGCTCGTAGCATGACTTACTCGTCATGGAGTGTTAATTGTAATAGTAAATGTTATCCCTTTGAAGCTTTATTTTGGGGGAATTTATAATAAGTTAAAAATCAAAAATGGGTGATGAATGTTCCTGTCGAGCCAAAATGTTGATCCATAGATGTGACAGAGACATTAGAAAGGCAGGCGTTTGCTGACTCTGATCGTGAGGCTAACGGCTGACATGTGTGCCCATGATTGACTGGCTTTCCTTCCGTTTCACATCACAATCACTTGATCTGTGGCTCTGGTGGCCTTGGAGTCAAATTTGCGATCATAAAATACTGAACACATTTTCAATTGTTGGCTCAACCATTTTGAAAAGACTGAAGTGGAAAAATCATTTTTAACACACCCCACACCACAGTATAATCACTCAGGATAATCTTTCAGAGATGTCCAACAAATGGACCCTTGCTGACTTTGATTGCAAGAGAGGGAAAATGCTCAAAATATGGCCGATTATCATTATATGCGTATGCCACAACTCTTGACATCATGATTGACAGCAATTTTGCTTTCATTTGTGGCACCATCTTAGGGTGATTCCGGCGGCCCTCTCAACTGCCTGGTGAACGGAAAATACTATGTGCACGGTATTGCCAGCTTCGTCTCCGGCTTGGGCTGCAACGCTCCCAGGAAGCCCACCGTCTTCACCCGTGTTTCCGCCTACAACGAATGGATGGAGTCGGTGGGTGACGTCACTGACTTCCATAATTGAGTTGATATCACCTTCATTTCCCCACAATATTTCTCTTTTCTTGTTCGCAGATCATGATGTAAACAAACATGGCAGTCCAAGAAGCAGAACATCAACTCTTGTTTGTTTCGTCTATCGTTGGTCCTCCATAGTAGTCACTCAAAATAAAGCTCAGATACATAACTTTGAGTGATGATTTCTTTCTTGTTAAGATTAAAAAGCAGAGAATTTTGTGGATGATCTTCCCATAAATTTTCTCCTAAAATAAATACTTTTTTTTTTTTAAATGGGAAGCCTCTATTGACCAATTCCTGTATCGAGGAAATCATCAGGTGGCATCAGATGCATTCTGATGTCATTTATTTTCAATAAATGATCGAAAAATTTTATTAATAAAAATGTTGTTTAGCTATTGGGCAGCCCGATGATTGAGTGGATAGCGCGTCCACCTCACAGTGCAGAGGGACCGGGTTTGATTCCAGCTCCGGCCTTCCTGTGTGGAGTTTGCATGTTCTCCCCGTGCCTACTTGAGTATTCTCCGGGTACTGCGGTTCCCTCCTACATTCCAAAAACATACATGCCAGGTTAATGGAACACTCTAAATAGTCCCTAAATGTGATTGTGATTGAAAATGGTTGTTTGTCTGTGTGTGCCCTGCGATTGGCTGACAACCAGTTCAGGGTTTCTCCCGCCTACTGCCTGAAGACAGCTGGGATAGGCTCAAGCACCCCCCGCAACCCTTGTGAGAATAAAGCGTTTCAGAAAATGGATGGATGGATGTTTAGCTATTGATGCCAGTGAACTACAGTGCCAGGCAGAATAATTAAACGCTCTTGTACAACATTGCAGAACATAGATTTAAAATGTGTATTAAACAGATGCATTCTATAAGCAGAATAATGTATAAAACTGCAGAATAATCTCTTTGTGTTTAGCTACACACGCCCAGATTTCACAAGTTTTAGCTTTTGCTCATTTGCATGGGATAGGACCATCCATCCATCCATTTTCTGACCCTCTTCATCCTCACAAGTGTCATGGGGCGTGCTGGAGCCTATCCCAGATGTCTTCGGGCAGTAGGCGGGGGACACCGTGAACCGGTTGCTAGCCAATTGCAGTGGGATAGGACCACCCCCTCAAAGCTGGCTGTGATGTAAATTGCTCTAATACTTCTTCCTTGGTGTATTTTTCATTGAAGCTTGTCACAGACATTTGGAGACACCTGAGAATTTGGTTAAAAAGGTAAAAAAATGCATCAAGAAAATGTTTTAAATATCAATGCATCACTATTTGTAAAATCTATCCTAATTGTCTTGAAAATACAGCAAAAAACATTTGTTGTAACATTAATCCTGTGAGGTGAAATGAAGGAGTTTAAGGTCTACGTATAAGATTTTATTTTATTTAATAGCAACTAACCTTATTTGTATCATAGTATTATTGTATTAAACATATACTGTATACAGTGTGTGATCCTGCGGTGTACCGCATTACTGTGATGATGTTTTTATCCCCAACAATAAAGATCATTCATGCTATCAAGCCCCGTTGAGGTGGCCTTCTGCGTCATCGTTTTTAGGAGGAAAATAATTTGTGTATTACAGCTTTTGGCTAGAAAACGGCGTGCACTTTGGACTGGTCGCCATCCAATTGCAGGGCACAAATAGACAAAGAAAAAAAAAACACTAATTTTCACACTTAAGGATAATTTAGAGCTAATGTGCATGTTTTTTAGAATATAAGATGAAGCCAGAAGTGTGTGTGTGTGTGTGTGTGTGTGTGTGTGTGTGTGTGTGTGTGTGTGTGTGTGTGTGTGTGTGTGTGTGTGTGTGTGTGTTTGGCGGAAGGGGCCCCTCAGTGGCAGGTTCAGGGCCCATTAATCAGGCGAGTCTGGCGGGCATCCCAGAATCCAGATGTGAAGTGTTTGGCTGGCCAGTCATGATGCCAGCCCAAATGCCAAGCACACTGGTCTTTGCATAGCCCTTCGGAAGGAGGGCCATGTGCCACACCAGAGCAAAGACGGGAGGCGGCCGCTAGTCATGCACCACCGGAGAAGAGTCCCAGAGCGAATGCGAATGGAGAACAGTCAGAGAGCGACTGGGCAGCATTCACCGCAAGTGCCGGATGGGAATGGAACATGCTACAAAATTTTGTTCACTTCTGCAGTCGGGATTTCTATGCTTGACACAATGCTCTGAATGCACCGATTGACTGGGTTTTCTGGTCGGCGTGTTCACCTCAGCGTAGAATAGCACAACACAATTCTTCTGCAGGGTTTACTTTTGGTCAAATGATTCTATTATGGTTGTGGTAGGACTGAGGGCCCAAATGCAGAGAAGCAAGGCAGAAGTGCAGGAAGGACTGTACAAAATTTACATCCATCCTTCCATTTTCTGATTCGCTTATCCCCACAAGGGTCACGGGGGTTGCTGGAGCCTATCCCAGCTGTCTTCGGGCAGTAGGCGGGGACCCTGAACCGGTTGCCAGCCAATCGCAGGGCACACATAGACGAACAACCATCCGTGCTTACACTCACACCTGGGGCAATTTAGAGTGTTCAATCAGCCTCCCACGCATGTTTTTGGAATGTGGGAGGAAATCAGAGTACCCAGAGAAATGCCACACAGACACGGGGAGAACATGCAAACTCCACACAAAAAGGCCAAAGCCGGAACGGAACCCTGCACCTCTGCACTGTGAGGCCGATGTGCTGACCAGTCGATCACCAGAACAAAATTTATTACCAAAAAATAATAATAATAATAAAATAAAAATAAAATAAAAATAGCAAGGGTATTTTAGTAGGATCAAAATGCCTCATCAACAAAGGACTTAATTAAAAAAAAAAAAAAAAAAGAAAGAAACTGTGAAACTAAACACTCATCAAAGACTTGTCAAGAGTATGCAACAGTGACAATGACCTAACAAAGACTGAAGGAAAGCAAGGAACTAAATATAACAAGTTGACGAGAAGACGAACACCTGGAGAAGACACAAGTTGCTGACGGGGCTGATTGGAAGGCAAAAGGAACCAAGTTTATGAGCACAAGTGCACCACAAGAAAATAAGACACAAAACAAGACCTGAGTTTGACACCTACGGTCTTGAGCACAGCTGTCAAAGTCGGGTCCTCAAGGGCCGGTGTCCTGCATGTTTTCCATGTCGCCCTGCTGCAACCCCCCTGACCCAAATGATCAGCTCTTCAGCAAGCTCTATCGGAGCCTGATAATGATCGTGATCATTTGAATCAGGTGTGTTGGAGCAGGGCGACATGGAAAACATGCAGGACACCGGCCCTCGGGGACCCGACTTTGACACCTGCGGTAGAGTGTAACCACTGAGAAAAACAAACAAAGATAGTGTGAGCGAAGTAGATAAAGACAGCAGAGGTGAAGGTTTTTTTTTTTTTACATTTACATTGTCTGGTGTTCAAAAATTAATAATTTAGAACACTGGACTCCGCACCTCAGAACAGTGAGGCACACATGCTCACCATGATTACATCATGCGACCCAGGAAAAGTGCAAAATAGTTTGATATTACTGACTTCTCAAAACATGAAGTCTCTACTGCATTATGTAACACCGTGTATCGAATCCCCGTCGAGTCAGTGGAAAAGTTTTGTCAAAACCTGGTCAGTCAACAGTATCGCTATCATGTTGGGAATCTTGCCAGTGCTCAGTAATGACAAGAGACGGAAACAAGAGAACAGCAACAGAAGATACTGCATTGAAAATGTAGATTTTGATTCATTCTGAGATCTGAGTCACCCATGCAAAAATGCTGCGTTTTAGAAATTCAGATGTTGTGACGTGAATTGCAAGTTGTAAGTCCTTAACGGTGAGTGCCTGCTAAGTGAGAAACCATTACACGTCACCTGCGTGCAACTAGTACTAGTCATTTACAAACGCTCACACCAGGTACAAGTATCTTCGCATTATTCTTTAAAATCAACAGGATTGCATCGATGCAGAATAATCGTCTTCAAAATGTGCAGCTTGCAACTTTGGCCATCTTGAGTCATGTATAAACATAAATCAAGAGCATCCATGTTCTGATTTGTTCCATACAGCAAGTTGAAACAAAATTTAGGCACCATGGTTCTGAAGTTTTTCATGGATTTGTATCTCCTGAGGGGCATTTGCATGGGAAAAACCAAAGAAGCATTCGGTTCACTAAAGACTGTGGTGCATGCTTGTTTGTCTATATGTGCCCGGTGATTGACTGGCAACCATCCAGTGTGTACCCCACCTTTCAGCCAATGCCAGATGAGATTGGTTCCATTTTCTACACAAGCGCTTCAGAAAATGCATGGCTGGATGGAGCTCACAAGCCGAATGTGGATCAGATCTGAAGGGAACATTTACATTTTCTTGACACTTTCCTTTATTTGGGTGGAGCAATAAATGCTGTCTTCTGCGATTTTGGCTTAACAGGTGTAATGAAGGTATCGTACATTTTATCGAACGATCCCTTTAAATGTCCCAACATTATGTGGCCGACATTTGTTTGAAAGGCAAATGTCAAAAAAAAAAAAAAAAAGCAAAAGGGCAAATGCCGTCATTGCGCCCAACCCAAGTCGCAACACTGTGACTCGATGTAGAGCCAGCGGGTAAAGCGCTTTTTTAATTTTCTGAATATTGTGGCTTTTATGGTTATCGCTTTGACTGTCTTGCGTTTGAATTGTTTGTACTCTGTAATGTCGCGGTTTACTGCGAACGCAACTGCGCTTGAGGTCCTAAATTAGCGTCCTACATTTCTCAGTGATTGTTTGCAATATCGTAAAAGTGCCAAAATAACGTGCGGATTAAAACTTTGCTACTTTCTATTGTATTAGTTGGTTTACGGGTGTGTGTGCCGTGTGCTTTAGTCGTTGCGTTTATTTGTTTACGTGTAAATTGTGGTAAGAGTGGATTTAAATCGGGTGGCAACTGATTCCTGATACCAGGAGCACTATGGGAGATGTAGTGGCAAACCGCATTGTGCTTGTACAAATTTGTCTATAGCCTGGTTAATTGGTTGGATAGTTCGTGTTTGTTTGTAGGAAAATTGTGAATATTCAACTGAAACTTAAATATAAAACTTATGTATGCAGATTGTAAATTATAGGTATTTGGTATATTGATGTGATTGATAATTTATGGTCTACTCATTGCATACGTATGCTCAAATGAAATGAT